CAATTAAGTTGCGAATCGGAATCACGGAGTAAATTCATCCCAAATGTTCGTTTTCCACCAAACTTTTTTCTATGAACTTTTCAATTTTCCAAGTAACTAACAGGCCCGAATCTCTAACAGAGTTTAGTTATTCAGAGAATTAAAAAGTTCATAGAAAAAAGTCTGCATTTAATTAGTTATGTAACGCTAGTACTTATGCCTTCACTTTTCTTGTATATAGTCGTATGATTTACCGGACGATAATATACTCTTAAATTTATCACATCCGCTAAACTAACCAAAAAAAAAAAAAAAATGAAACAAATACTTAGGTAGGTACGAATATAAAAGTTGCTGATAACATTAACGAGTTTCCCTTTCTAATGCGCTCTATGTAACGCGCTCGTAAATCTTTAAAGCCAGAGATGCGTAATATTTTTTTTTAAATCTATTTTTCTTCACTTTCACTGCAAGTAAATGTTCAACGCTCAAATTGTACAATTAGTCAAACGGTTGAGCAGCTCTAATTTAAGTTCTACTTTTACTGCGCTATCTAAATAAACATTTATTATTGTGTTACATACTTACACTTTGCGTTGAGTTTTTAATTTGGTTATTTTTATTTGTTTTTGTCTTTTTGCCTCCGCGCATAGCGCAGTTTTAGTTACGCTATAAACAATTAGTCACCTGAGTGCACGCAAATTAAAATCATTAAAAAGGTAAAAAACTTACTTAATTAAAGAAAATCTAAAAAAAAAAACAAAAAAGAACTACAAAAAAGGTAAAAATTACTTAATTAATGAAAATCTGAAAAAAAGCAACATTGCATCTTGTGGATGTTTAACGTTTAAAAATATTGCATCTACTCGCAGATGCTTGCTTGATTGACATTTAGCTAACTTGAACTCGTCTTCATATTTAATAAATTTTCAATTTGTTTTCTTAACATTATTTCTAAGTAAATTTGATTCAGCCTCGCTTCCAAGTACTTCAGTGTCGGCTGTAAGTGGTTTCTTGGCATTTTTTGTTTGCTGTTGGCTGAGCTTAAATTGCCGCCAGCTTTAGAGAAACTGTACATTTATTTATGCAAGCATGCATAGATTTTTACTTATTTATATGTAGTAAATATGTTTGTTTTGTTTTGCAATCAACCTTGCTTGTTTTGCAAACAAAATTTTTGTATTTTGATTCAGAAGTTTTTAACAAAGTCTTTTTTCTTTTTTGCAGGTAAGCTTCCGGACCATATACATATATATGTCAACTATACGTGAGTGATGTCAAATGATCTTACTTTGCTTATGCTTTAGCGTTTTGTAATTTTCGCATATTTACTTTATGGCTTAATTTGGACACTTTGTTGAGTCAGATTGAGCTTTTCTGTCGCGAGCAATTTATATTGGCCATTTTGCTCTCAGCTTCAAAAATGTCCTGAACTATTTTTTTTAGGTCAACTGAATTTTAGTTTTCTCTTCAAACGACGCTTTCTTTTAGCGTTTGATAAACTTAACTGTACATACGCAGACAACAGAATCATTAGATGTTTACTACAGGGTTTTATAAAATGCTTTGAATCAGGGACCGTAACAGTTACAACTTTTATTATAAAAATCGCTGGTCCTCCCGAGTATCGGTTGATAGTTGAATAGCAATTATACGATTAACCGCTCATATTCGACTAACCGCTCACATCGAGTAGTCTGACAGTTGTTTACAATAAAATGGTTGGTATTAACGCGGTTGGGTTTTGAAAATAAGCATAAATATTAAAAAAAATATAAAAAATAAATGTTCATTGAAAGAAAGCAATAAGTCGAAAAATCGAACCCATTTCCAGTTGTAAATGCCAAAGCGTCAATCGAAAATGAAAAAAGCAGCATTTGTAAATGATAATTGTCAGTTATAAATGTGACAATGTTTTTTTGAAAATGAGAGTAGTAAATTGCATGATAAAAACATAGCAAGGTAGAACCGTTCTC